CGCGCCCTGGCACTCAGCACAATATGCCCCTAAAAAATGCAGGGGTCCATGTCAATATCAGAGGCTCTCCTCTTCTTCCTCACCAACAGCCCATGCAAGGTCTGGGACCGCTCAAATCCTGCCAATCTCCACAGAATGATTCTACTGATGACCCTGTCTCCACAGGATGATTCTACTGCCTCAAAAATTGCAACCAGACCACCCATGATGACCGTAGGTGCTGGACACTATTAAGGCAGTAGTTCAGAATCCAGGGGTCCCAGAACCCTGCAGATCTTGTCCACCAGTCACCAAATTCTTTTTTATCCAGCCTCTATTACAGGCTTGGCCCTATGGGGTTGGGGCAGCAAATAAGATCATGATAAATTCCTACTCTCAAAAAGCTTTCACTCAAATGGAAGGCAACCAACAATACACTTATACACAGCAAATGAAAAGCTTCACATACTATGAGGAGGATAAGAGTGTGTCAAGAGAAAGGGAAGGGCTGGCAAATGACAACAGAGGGCCACATCCCACCTGACATCTATTTTTGGATGGGCTACAAGTTAAAAATCATTTTTGACATTTTTAAATGGCTGAAAGGAAGGGAAGGAAGAATATTTCATGATGCCTGAAAATGAAACACAATTCAAATTTTCAGAGTGCAGATAGTCTGGCTGGAACACAGCGCCCCATGTGGTTTCCCTTGGCTACGCCTCCCAGCTCAACAACTGCGGCTCTGGCTTCCTGATGCCCCGGGGAAGCCCCTGGCTGGTCCCTGAGGCCACTGCACAGTGGTAAGCCAGCTCCCCCTGCAGCTCCCCCAACCCATCGCTGCTCTCCTGCCGGGGAGGGATCTTCTCCAAGGCACTCATCACCTCCGACAGGCCAGAGATTCACATGCTGCTGGCCTCCACCTACCACCCTGGGAATGAAGTTCTGTCGTATTTGCTGCTGCATTTTCAGCACCAAGATCAGAGCCACCACACAGCAGGTCCTCAACACACAGAGGCATTGGCAACTGCTGGCAAGTTCACGTGAAGGCGAGGTGATGAACGAGGGCATCGCCAGTAGCCAAGGCTTTCATTGCAGGGGCCTCCGAGCATCCTGGCTTCGTAAGGCCCTAGCACCTGAGGAGAGACTGTAAGAAGTGTGTGGGGGCAGGCGAGGGCAGGAGAGACACGTACCACCCTAAAGCAACCTACTACACCCACAGCCAATCTCACCTGCCAGGGAAGAGATGAGCTTAGCGATGTGCTCAGATCCAGTCTGCTGTCCTTTGCGTCCTTTTTTGTCCAGTTCCTCTAGAGAGCTGTGGTGAAGGGTAAAAGTGCCTGCACGTCCCAGATCTTCTGATGTTACAGAGCTCTACGAGGAAGCCTCCATGCATCTAAATACTAGCTTTTCAATTCGTAAATTGGCTTTCTAATCCTGCCCTCACAGAGGTCCGGGTAATGGACCTTATGTAACGTTCAGCTTGAATGCCGTTTCCCCCCCTAGTGTTCTTAGGGTCTAGGGTAAAGGTTTATTTACAATTCTAAATCAGGTTTTTTACTTTAAAAATGTCAACCACGGACAGATGGAGGGAATTCCCCTGGATCCAGAGCACCGGTGATAGGCCAGAGTGAGATACAAACTTCAACCACCAGTGAAAAGTGACTAAGTAGGATAGATCTGTGCATAGAAGCATGCAACTTGCCATATTTAACCAGAAGGTCACTAATGGAGAAGAAATGAATGAAAAATATTGCAAATGCCAAGGACTGTACTTGATGGAAATGTTAACAAAAGCTTGTTGGGGCACTGGACTCACAATGTCATGGACATTCCTGTGCATGCCTTTGGATGTAGAATTGGGGGGGTGGGCGGGAGGGCAGGCCTGCCACCTTGAGTTAATTATGGAAGGTGCACCTTAGTCCTTGGTACTTAGCTCATGTTAGAGACAACTTCCAAAGGCAGTAGGCATAAACATTATGGGAGCTATGTGAAAATTTGGGGTACCCTACTGCTGTGGAGCTTGAATTTATTGCAGTCTTACACAGAGTTTGGGTGACACCAAAGGCCAGTTCCACCAGTGATGTCTGGAAAGAGCGGGCTGAACAGTAGTATGGGGAAGGACACAGATTTTGCCAGAAGAGTTGGAAAACTCTACCTTGATCTGGCATTATTCCTTTAGTGCTATACTGACAGCTGCATCAGGGATGGAAAAGATCTCTGGAAGGTGGCTGCCCCCACTAGATCAAGGAGGTTCCAAAATTCCTGGCAAAAACAATTATCAAGCAAACCAGAAATAATGCTGGCCAGGTCAACATGAACAACAGAACAGTAAGGTTGCAGGTATCTATTTGCCAAATGCCTGGTGTCGGCACTATCATAACTCAGGGCTGTCATGTACAGGTGTCAGCTGATGCAGACGGAGGGCCAGAGTTGTGTGCATATACTGCACAACTGTGTATAGCGATCCCAGCTGTATAAAAAAGCTGGACTGAGCACAGAAATATATTCCACACCTAAATGGTTAATTTGACTACATTAGTGAGCTGAACGTGGCAGTGGATTACCTTTATTTCTAGAAGAAAATGTATTTGGCTTAGATTGAAAAATACAGCAGCAAAAGAGTAATATATAGATCTGAGTCATTATTTTCAGTTATCTCAGTTCCAATTCCATGCACTGTTGACCCAACAGCTCTCCCGAGCACGAGTGTAAGAGGAATGAAGACAGAATGCCTAGCATTTGAGTGACAGGAGGCACTAGTCTGGGGTACTGGTTACTGCTGGCAAGGTCACTGGAGAAAAAATGTTCACAGATCATAATAGAGGCACCAACAGTCTAAGCTGACAAGAGGGAAATGTTCAAGGCTAGAAAGTGAGGATTTGGGGAGCGGGGGTCGGGAAAGGTACCCCCAGGAACAGGAGAGGGAGGCTGGAGAGAAGAGTTCATGGGTCTAGTATGGAGGAGGGCCCTGAAATCATCGAACACATGGAACATTTTTATCTTAAAAAAGCAAGAAATAAACTCAACTTCCAGTGTCCAAGCCATGCCCATGCTGAATATGGGTACAGGCTCTCATCTCCACAAATTCTTAGATTTTCTCTTAAGGAAAAGTTGGGGGGAAGGGAAAAGTCTAATACTTAAGATCATCTATCTCCTCATGTCTCACCAAGCACTCACATCTATGTATGCCAAGCTTCTCGTTAGCAACAGGTAACCCTTTGCCTTCACTTCAGACACATTTAATTAGCTGGGGCCGGCTGGATATAAGCTCAGTATATGCCATTTCACTTAAAATACTATATAAGTTTCAGTAATGCCATTCATACCTTTCTATGTATATGTGTAGCTTTGCTTTTTAAAGGAAATCACATGCATATGACAAAAATTCTAATATTGTTACTAAGCGAATAATGTCACACCTTTGCTGAGTAAGGACACGTGTAAATTAACTGCTTTCTTAAAAAAAAAAAAGTGCCCCTTTAAGTGTAAGCATTAGCAGTACATCTGGCAAATCTAAAACCTCACTGCGCCCAGAGCACTTGAATTCTTCAAGTCTCAGCACTTAAAAAGAGTCAAACAACCTAAAGAATGTTACTTATTCCCAACAATTCAGTCTCCTGTACACCATCAAAGAAATCAACATTTTCACAGTAAAATAGAACCATTTGAAAATTCCATGCAACAAAACTGGCAAAAGTAACTGCACGAACCCAGAACATCAGAAGGATTCTTGAGTTTTGTTGATACAAAAAAGTTGAACAGTTGCATCTGCCTCAAGCAGGTCAAAGGTCAAAGTTTTTCCTATCACATTGGCTCAAAATGGGATTCCCTTCTGCGTGCCTGACACCGAGACCCAACCTCTGGGCTGGTGGCAATGAAGTGGGCACAGATGGCAGTGTCCTCTACCACGCACATTTGGAACTTGGAATTTAAGAGAGTAGATGGACGAGGTGCTCTCTGCCCACTGTTCAACTTCTTTTTAATGAGTCGCCCCTTCACCCGCTCTCCCCAATCTTTTTAGACATTCTCTCTGTGAAATTTTAATAGAGATACACACTGCACCTCTGTTCATGGGCTGCATGTGTATTTGTGCTTTAGGTACAAGAGAAAGACTTGCTCACTCCCAAGGACCAATTTTCCCCTGTTGGGGGCGACATCACCTCAGCCCTGTTGAGAACGCATGTCCTAGCAGCAGCTACAAAACCTCAGATCCACATTGGATTGTTTGTTCACAGCCAGAAATGTCTAAATAGATACTGATTTTGCATCACATCAGTCAAAACAATTCTATCGGGATGATGTTCAAAATAAAAAAAAAAAAAAACTGGAAAAATACGAGTGCCACCTAGGCGACACTCACAGCCGTATAAATAAGGCCCAGCCAGCGCATGGCAGGCAAATGCTTTTGGCATCACTCTCGAACCATCGGGCTTGAACTGACATTGGCTTGCAGAACCAAAGATCTGGTGGCTGCTGAATTTTACACATTTCCAGGAGCAAAGCCCCAAAATGACTCCTGAGAAAACAATTTTCTAGATGGTGGCAATGTGTCATTGGGAACACCAGATAGAAAATGTCTTGCAGAAAGCACAGAGGTTTCAATTTACAGGGCAAATTAATTAATGCTCGCTGCTCACCAATGACCTGCAAATAAATGGCCCACACAGTTATCTGTATCATAAAAAACAAATCAGCACTTCACCAGGAAATCCCTGGATATACAATTGAGGGAGACTTCCCCCTCTGAAAAGATAGCAGAATACTCACTCGTGTTCTATTACACTATTTCATCTCCAAACCGCACCCCCTGCAAGTAAAACAGTATTTTCAAACACTAAGAATCTCAGTGAATCTAAGAAACAGCACGCTATCCCCCAAAGCAGGCTCACTCCTGCCCACTGCATTTTTATATAAGCTCGAAAATAGTTGGGGGTGGGGGTGGACAGAGAAAGTTAGTTGTCTGTATAAATAAAAAAACAATTTAAAATGTCTGCACTGCATGAAAAGTTGAGCTCACCTACCTTCACTGGTCCATGTTCATAACTGGAGCTCTCCACCAACTGCAGATAAGACATCATGAAAATATTCACCACTGCCCACTGTCTGTACATTTTGAGTATTTCGATATCCACTGATTACCAAGCAGTTGACATCAGGCGGCTAGAGCAAACTGTTTTCAGAGGCATTCTCCAGAAGGAAAGTTCGAAACCCCAAGACTTCACATGGAAAAACAAATAATCAGTTGTGATCAAAATCCAATGAAACGACTTGAATTAGTCAAGGTAAGCTTTTGCACAATCTTATGGGGGAGAGATGAAAAAAGGTTTAAAATGTTCTCATTTTCTAAAACTCATCAGGAGGTGGACCTGTCTTCCATTAGCAATGAGCAAGCACTCTAAATCCATTTCATGTTCAGCCAATTAAAAAAAAAAAATCTCTTCAGCCTATGCCCCAGGTTCTAGTAGCTTCTAAGGAGGTGGCCACCAACGTTTGCAGCTACAGAAGGCTGGAACCCAATTCTGGAGTCAAACTTTTTTCACAACCTCAACGAAGCATGCAGAGGCATGTGTCTTAAATCTGACACAGATTTTGGCAGAAAAGGCAGGGAAGTCTTGGCTGTGATCCTGTCTTGTCCCTACCAATAGCAGGGCAGATTTTAAAAAACGTCCTCAAAAGCTCAGGGCTGTCTCTTTCACACAGATAACCTGTAATGCGAAACCCCAGCACAAAGGCTTGACTGTGGTTTGATTTGCTCAGGAAGAGAGTTCAGTTGCTCATCGATCGACAGCCAGTAACACACAGACAGCAGCTCCTGTTCTTCCAAAAGTCTCACATAGGCACACACGCGAAATAAAACAGCCACACACATGTGAAAATGCAAACATCCACAAAACGCAAAACAGGAGCTTATTAGTAGCTTAGGTCAAAATGAAGAACACTGATTTTTACAGAAGCTACAATTCATTTATTTACATATGCCTGAAAAGATCTCTGGTACATTGTTAAAAAAAATCATGCAAAAAGCATTACAAAAATCACGTTAGTGTGGGATTCTCCAGAAGCACTTGCAAGACAGGTCTGGAAACTGCTCTAAATGCAAGGGTACCACGCAGGGCAAAATCCTAGGAGTGTGCGTGCCTTCACTAGTTTCCAATCTTTGATTTCCAGGATTTGGCTCTTTCAAATCCATTTTTTGCATTTCGGAAATCAAGAATGGCCTGAGAAATCTCTTCATCAGTGTTCATCACAAATGGGCCTAGGACAGAAAGAGACATTCAGAAAGTGCTGGGTGATGATAGCATTTTTTCCTACCACTACAAATGGTTTGTATGTGTGTAGTACTTTCCCCCCAGGCCCAATACCTCCATTTCTTGCTTTCCCCCCATATTTTAGTGAGGTAACGTTGGTTCATAACATTATGTAACTTGCAGGTGTACAATGTCACCATTCAACGTCTGTACATGTTGTCACCAACAGAAGTCTAGTTTCCATCCATCACATTACAATTGACCCCCACTTGCCCATTTCACCCAATCCAAAGCCCTTCTTCTTTGTTACCCAATCTGTTCTCTGTATCTGTGAGTTTGTTCTTGTCTTGTTTGTTTACTTGTTTTTTTTATCTTCCACATATAAGTGAAATCATAAGGCATTTGTCTTTCTCCATCTGACTTATTCCACTTAGCATCATCCCCTGAAGATTCCTCCAAATTGATGCAAAAGGCAAGAACTCATTCTTTTTCATGATGCGTGCACACACACGCATGCACGCAACCACGTCACCTATTTTTTATCCATTTGTCCATCAATGAATATATCTTGTTTCCATATCTTGGCTACTGTAAATAATGCTGCAATGAGCATGGGACTGAATGTATTTTTTTAATTCATGATTTTATATTCTTTGGATAAATATCCAGGAGTAGAGTAGCTGAATCATATAGTGGGTCTAGTCTTAATTTTTAGAGCTGTCTTCACACTTTTTCTAGGCACCAACACACATTCCCAACAGTCTCATTGACACTTGTTATCTTGTACACTTGTTATCTTGTGTCTTTTTTAGAACAGCCAATCTGACAGCCATTCCACCGTGGTTCTTAACTGGAAACAAATCCCAGCAGATGGTTACTTTCATGTCCAATCTGAGGACTATCATACAAATTTTCATGACTAGGATTGTGTATGAATATAAAGACCCAACTTCAGATAAACACATGGAGTTGCATCTTACTGAGCTATGTCAAGGTCTTCATCAGCAATGGCAAGCTGTACATGCAATACATTCTTAGGTTTAGTTCTACTGCAACTCTTTCTGTAGTCCAGTAGAGTTGGCGTCACAGAATTAACTGATGTCAAAAACTTATCTGATCTAATACAAGGAATTGGCAGATCTCATCATGGTGTATGGAGTCTAAGTAGCATACAAAGCCATGACCTCACATGAGGAATCTAAGTCACTTTTGAAAATAAATAGCCAATAGCCATGTTTGTGTTCCAGGATGTCTGATTTACAAAAACATGCAATATGCAGATTTGGCCCCTAGGTCCTAGACTGCCAAGCCCTTTGTCTAATTTCTTGGTCTAACCTCAAGTTTTGCTAAAGATACAGAAACCCTCCCTTAATCACTAGAAGGCAATGTGTCTGTCTCTTCCCTCTTCTTCACACATTGTAGGGGCCACCGGGTCTGTTTTGACTATCACTCTTAAGACACATTGGACTGACAAGGCCAGTTTTTACAAAGCAGTCGGCAGCTGCCAATCAGCAGTTGACATTTCAGCTGAATTGTCCATTCAGTACATTCCTTCTGTGAGAGGTTCCTGATACTCCTTTAAAGGAAGTTCCTTGTCTAAAGGGTTTTCTCTCTAAGGGGTCCTGAGTAAAATATAACTGTGTTATCCAGAGGGAATCATACATTCAAACTTTTTAACTGCTGTTGGCATATGAGTACAGATTTGGCATTCACTTTGGTCTAGAAGCTGAGTCTTGATGATGTTGAGGCCTTTTGGGAGACTTCAGGCAAGAAGGCAGCAGGCATTTAAATACATCCATCCACCCACCCACCCATCCATCCACCCACCCACCCATCCATCCATCCATCCATCCATCCATCCATCCATCCATCCATCCATCCATCCATCCATCCATCCATCCATCCATCCATCCATCCATCCATCCATCCATCCATCCATCCACCCATCCATCCATCCATCCAATTACTACCTAGTGAGAATTTACCAGATGAAATGACAAGTGTCATGTTTTGTTGGCATTTACCTAAGTAGTAAGCTGGGTTGTAGGTGGTGTTCGGTGTTCCTTGTTTAATCAAATAAAAATAATATGAGGGAGATGAGACAGAATTAAGGTGGCTGCTATGGATACCTATTCCAGGCTTTTCTGCCTATTTCTACTATCTCACAGTCACCTCCATGCATTTTAAAAGTATACAAAAAAGTGACTAATATTTGAGAAACTGAAAGAAATATTCTTAAGAGGTTCTGATTTTTCACTTACAATTACAACAGACTACAAGGGCAGAACAGAAATCAGCTATTTTTGGTCAAGATCAAAATGATATTCACTTCCCCAGCAGAGCAAAAATCTCTTTGTAAGTTGAAATTCCATCTTTGTTTTCCCCACAATATTGCTTTGAAGGAAAGTGAATGCATATAGAAATAAATGCCGTGTACATTTCCCCCTCTGACAATGGAGAAATGAAACAAAAGTTGTGGCTGGATAGAGGTTAAAATCCAGCTATTCTTTGCAAGCATTCTGCACATGCACACTACTTTCAAAGAAAATGGAAGGAATCCACCACCGTTTGGGGCTTACCATGCTGGACTACTGGTTCTTGTAATGGCTCCCCAGCAATAAGGACAAAATGACTTTTCTCAGGGCCCTAAAGTCAATGAAGAAAGAATCAAGCAATAAACATGCTTACTTTCCAATGTCACACTAAGAATGAAGCGGACATTCTGGCTTTCAAAATCAGTAGATCTTCATGCGTTTTATCTTTATCAAAATTACCACATACATACATTTTCAATAGATTTACTTGTTAGAATTGGTGCTTAGACCTTAATTAGAGAGGACAGCTCAAATCACACATGGCGAATTACGCTGGGACCAGGCACATCTGTTATGTGTTCAGCTTGTCAGCTGGGACGATGCAGTGGTCCGTTGCACTGCCAGCCAGGCTGACTCAGAGGGCTGGAAGGTGGCCTCATCCCCATTTTCCTGCACGGTGGGCCAGCACTTGTCTGTCTACCTTACTGGCTAAGGAACAAGAGCCCAGCGGGGGGCGAAGTGGGGGAGCCCCTCGACCCAGGCCCGTGGCTCCCTGCACGTCCCCATCTGCCTCCCATCTCCAGTGGGTGCACTGCAGGGACTGGGTGTGCTAAGCACTCAAAGGGAAATCACCGATGACTTCTCTAAGTGCATCTGTGGATGTGCCATCATTGCTTCCAATGCTCCTTCTTTTAGGACCTGTCTTGCCTGCCATTTGCGGGGTGAAAGCACCCAAAGAAAGCCAGGGTGTGCCTGGCTGGGGTTCAGTAAAACTTCATTACAAAACCGGCTTGGAACTCGGCCTGTTGGACATGACTTGTAGACGCCTGTGTCAGAGCCGGGGCCGACTTCTGGCGGCCGTCATCTCGGCGTTCTTCCTAACAGCCTTGTGGCTGGCATCATTACTTCCATCTTACGAAGAAATGGATGCTCAGAAATGTTGAGAAATGTCAAGGTCACGGGGCTAATATGCGGCAAAATCGAGATCACACCATCAAGCTCTTTTCTGTGAGTGGGGCTTCTTGCTTTCCTATGGGTGTGGCCGCACCCACCCACATAAATGCTAACTTCTTAAATAACTGGTTTTCATGGAAATCTTTCTGTTTCTGAAGTGTCTGTACTACACACAGCAGCAGTTGCGGGACGAATGAAGGCCTGCCACCAGGGACGCCCTTGCTGGGGGACCGCCCGCTCCCCCGGCTGCGGGTGGTTTCTGCCGACGCCTTTGGGTCCTGAGTGCTCAGCCTGCCACGCTCCCACCCCTCTATCATTTCTTTCTTGTGCTTTGTTTCACCTGCAAGCCCTTATCTTTTGCCGAGGTTCATATTCTGATGAATAGCTTCCGGGCCTCTTTCTTGCACTGGGTGGAAATGGATGAAGCTGTCATTATTATAGGTCCAAAGTGGCAGTTTCATGCAGGACAACCGAGTATTTATGAGTGTGAAGCCTCAGACAGGCATTTCTCGGGTGCTCATGGGGTTTTCTTCTCTCCACCACACAGTTCATGGCTAACCGCAAGTGATGAAGGCAGCTGTTGGCGAGTTATCAGGAGAGAAGCTAAGACAACACCCCCGCCCTGGCCATCGCCACCTGGACAGCACCAGGGACAGAGGCCAGGGCCAGTCAGTCTCTCCACCAGGGACCGGCACGCTGACGGTCGTCACGCCTGGTTTTGAAAACCCCCCTTTCAGGCGCTTTGGCCCAGTCATCTCCTCAGTCCTCTTTAACAGAGGGACTCAAAGCAGTCCATTGGCTTCACGGCTCACAAGCAGGTGAGGCGTCACCCAAGGGGAAGGAAGCAGGGGAAAGAGCAAGCTGCTGACACTCCTAAAATAGCAGAAACTTCACTTAGAAGCAGGGACTCAACACAAAATGTCCATGAGACCCAGAGGATGCTCCTCTCAGTTCAAGATGCGGTGGCGGGCAAAGCGCTCCTAGGAGCACGCCCGCAGAGCTGCCGCTGGGCTCGAGGGCCGACCCTGTTTCACTTCAGCTGAAAGTAAAAACGATTCAACTGTAGAAAGCAAGAAAGTGAAGAGACACGGGAAATCTTTGCCTCCAGATGCGAGTTTCTAGGGTGACTCTAGAAGATGAGGCATCGGTATAAAGAAAACTTTAATATAAAACAAGAGAAATAGGCATGAATGAAAGGCCAATAAGCTTGTGGCATAGCTTCTTTCTCCAAAGAAGATGGAAATACTTGTAGCTACACAGGAGACCCAGGTATTTTTCTGGAAGTCTGTAGAAAGTTAAGAACAAGTTAAGAAAATTCAAGATTTGCAACACTCACCTTGTTCTCCACCTGGACACTGTCACCATCCCCCAGCACCGCTGTGTGGTAAGGTTCTATTTTCTCTTGTGCATCATCGGGCCCTACAGAAAAAAAAAAAAAGAGTCGGTAAATTTAATACTCGTCATAGGACACTTAGAACACCATGTACACATTTTAATCTCAGAACTGACTTAGGAATTTCCTTAAATTTCTTATTTGATGATATTTGTAATTACTGATGTCTGAAAATGGCTGGTTTCCACTGTGGAAAAGAGCAGGAGGTGAGCTCTGCACCGTGTTTCCATTTGCGCTATCAGTGTCCTGCCTAGTAATTCAATGAATAAGCACAGTCCTTGGCACTATGTGTTAAGACGAGTGTTTCCTGGGGCAAATGATAAATCTCCTAAGAATTAATCATACTTGGGAAAATCAGTAAATGGCACCACTAATTCATTTCAACAAGTATTTATTGAGCACCTACAACTGGGTAGTACTAGAAGACAGAAAGAAATACAAGGCAGAGTCCTTGCATACAAATAATTAAAAATCTCTGTGGGAGAAATGAAATAAAAATTCATAAAGTCATCACATACTTGGCAAAAAAAAAGAATTTTTGACTATATGTGGTGACAGATATTAGACTTACTGTGATACTTTTATAATAGATACAAATATAGAATCACTGTGTATATTTAAAACTAACTTAATGCTATATATTGAGTAGCTCTGAATGAGAATTTAAAACACAATTCAACTGAAAAAAAGTCAGTTGGATTGCTGTGAACAAAGGCCTGTGCTAAATGCTGTGTGTGTGTAGGGAGGAGGGGGTAAGGGGTGGGGGCAGTTTTCAGGCTAGACATGTTGCCATACCTTGATACTAAGGTTTCCAGGTGAAATAACACAAGTGAAATCGTGTGTTAAAGGCAACAGTAAGTACAGCATTTGTGCAAGGTTCCATGAGATAACAGGTATGTACGTGCTGATTCCAGGCCAGCGGTCCCAGAATTGATTTGTAGAGGAGTTGAACTTGACAGGGCTCTTCGGGAAGGGCGCTGCAGACAAAGGACAGACTGCGCGAGGGAAGGTGCTGGGAGTGTGCCCCTCCGAGGGGATGGTGAGCCTTCTGCTCTGCGGAACCTTTCTTATGGGAAGAATCATGGAAAAGTAGGCCGGCTACAGATCAGGGAAAGATTTGAAAGCCATGTTAAATTAGACAGCCTTTGAGGAGAGGGAGGATGTGTGTGAAATGATCAGATTTGTCTTGGGCAAATAATTCTAGGGGCAGAGAACAGACTCAACCCAAAGAGGCAAGAATGAAGTTAGGATGACCTGTTATTTTGTGGTCAGAGTCTATGTGAAAATGAATTACAGCTTGAACTGTGAAGGGGCCGTGAAAAGGCGTGGATGGGGCTTGAGAGGCAGCTGTGAAGGAACCTAAAGGATCTGACAACAGTGGGAGAGAGGAGTCCCACGTGATCCTCACTAGGAAAAGAATGCTGTCGTGGTCCAAAGAGAACAACAGTGATTCTGCACGAGAAAGCCCGAGAATGGAGAAGCCACACTGGATGACAACAGTCACAGGAGGCTGGTGAGCGGGGTAGGAGCAGATCTTTTAGTGGCTGGGAAATACAGACATGAACAGAGAGAAGAGTCCAAGCAGTGTAAGCAAGCCCATGAAGATGTCTGGCCGGGGCGGGGGGAGTACACCTGTATGGTATTTGGGATATAAGTAAGGACATACTGGGGCTGAAGCGGAATACTCAATACGGGCTCACTTATTTAAATGAAATACCAGCTTGAGGAATTACATATAATGGAAACATAATTTGTGCATTTTGTGAATTTTGACTAGCGTCCAAACATAGCTTTAGTTTCTGGAGAAATTCTTCTCACTTCCACTTTGGAGATCACCTGAACAAGGCAAGTTTACTACGACGACGGCAACATCAGGACTCTACTAGAGGAGGAATTCCTAAGCTGGAGTCAGTGTACTTCAAAGGGACCCAAGAGTCGAATGCACAGCATGCAGAGACTTGGACAAATGACATCTTTAGACTAGCACCTAACTGAAATGCGGCTTTCCCTTCCTTCTTGAATGTAGCCAATCAACCACAGGAGTATCAGCTTGGACCAATGACTTATCTCCAGCGGAACACACAGATATTTTCTGTATCCTATTACAAGGTGACAGATACCTCAAAATAAGTTTATGTAATTACAATTGAGAGTTGACCTCTCGCTAGATCATATTATTTCAAATGTCATTAGAAAAGCACACAAGTCACTATGTGATAAGCTTGTTCCTTTAACATTTTAAAGATACCATCGAACTACCCAAAATAATAATAATAACAACAATGTGGGAGAGGGAGGTTGCCCAACTCTAAAGGATCCACGACACCAAAAAGGACAGACCCTCTGTCCCAGAGGCACTGGTGTGCTGTACAATGTTTAACAACGGACTTTGGGGACAAGAGTAGCAACAAACGAATCAGTAGTGTGGGCCCATTTCCATGGTGTAAATAAATGCTCCCGTTGTGGGCAATTCCAAGCTGCCTACGGGAGCTCAGGGAAGAGGTACCCCACTGGCTCCTTCAAGTACACAAGCACAGCACTCAAGTTCTCTTTCGGGTCGGCAAAGGTCATGGAAGTGGATGACAGAAGTCCATGGATTTTCCAGCCATGCAAGGATTTCGCAAAAGAAGACGTCTGCGAGTCCAAGAATAATCTCACTTCAAGTTGGGAGTATTTTTAACGGGGATACAGCAAAGCGGTTTATGAATAAGTGTGTTTTGCTGAGATTCCTTGGGAGCAATGAACCATGTTTCGTCTTTATCTTTAACTAATTCATATATAACACCCATCACCCACGTGGCCCACTCCTGGCCCTGTATTTTATGATGTAGGTTGTTTCAGGAAACACACAGCAACAGTTTACAAAGCCTGCTCACTGTGTTTTAATGGAGCGAGCTGGCAAGAGACAGCTCTCAATATCTGCTGAGTTGGGATTTCTCCCCACCTCCTATCAGGATGGCTGGCCTGACTATGGTGTTGTTCACTGGTCCATGAGGAAATCTTAATTTAGAAACAAGAGTTCCGGTCTCCCTATGAGTGTTATCCTAAGGTTAGAATGCCCCTTCTGCCCTTTCTCTTGGTTGACTGAGAGAGGAGTCAGTTTGCATGCTGGGGAGGCCATCTGACACGCCCACCTCAGGCGGCTTTGCTGAAGGACACCTGGTCAGGTTTCCAGGCTGATGGTTCTAACGTTGCTTCTGTTTATTTCCTGAGATGTTTACAACAGGGTCACAGAAAACAAAGACTGATTCTATCTTCATGTCATTTTTATGCTGTTTCACCCATCTGGTTATCTCCCGAACCTAAAATAAGCCTCAAAGAAAATATATTTTATTGTTTCTGACTACTTTCAATTACAAAGGGAGCCAAATCAGATAATAAATAGTTTCCATCGAGATGCTTTGCCAAGAATGTTAAATCTAATAGTGCAGCTAAGGAAAATTTAACTAAAAACAATTGAATTGCAAATATTTTTGTTTGCCCTAAACAGTCATAAAAGGGCAAAATACTTGAAAACATATTCTAAAGTTAGTGCTGTACCTTCGGCATGTCATTCATTGCTGTGAATTGTTTCTCCACACACCACACTTTTTTTCCTTTTCCTTCTCTGCCGATCCAGTTTCCTCTCTGTTCCACACACTCTGGTACTTCCATCATAAATTTCGCTATCATCCATTTCACACGTACAGTTAGCCCTCTTATCTGAGGTAACAAAGGTCATTCATTGCAAGACAAACTGCCTGGAGCTTTTCAAGTGCAAATGTGCCTTCCTCTGCCAAGTTGTACAGATGGAGTCAAGAAGGTCCCCACCGGGACTGAAACTGTCTTTCTTCCTGAAGCACACCCGCCGGTGCTGCCCAAATCCTTCTAGATATTTACACTTTCCCTCAATCTTTTGCTGCCATCTCTCCATAGGAATTCATGGGGTTTCCTTCAGCAACTTGCTTTTGCAAAGCATCTGACCTAGTTGTTCTAGAAATACCTCTCTTTTCACACTAATATCATTAATTTACAATGCTTAATTAAATTACATCATTTCAATGATGGGAGCAACTGGAAGAAATAGACTTGAGAGTAATCACAGCTGCCTTTACATCCACTTCGACTGGCTGGGGGTGGGGCAAAGAGCAGGTGCACCCCAGGAGGGGATCTAGGGGTGGCGGCCCTCCCTCAGCAGATCACTTGGTGTGAAGTGCACTGGTTGATCCAGTTTGTTTGGGTTTGGAGGCCAGTTTGAGGGTTTCTGAGGGACACCCCACCTTTATTTAAGATCTAGGGGCCATGTCAAACTTCTTAAGACCACCCAGAATCTGGAGCAGAAGCTGAGCACAAACCAAGCACTTAATTTACTTGTGATTACTTAACTAGAATAAGCCTGAAGCATTCTGCCTACATAAATTCTCATTTTTTTTAAAAGATTTATCCATTTTTTTCATACAGAACTGGGATACCAGCCAGAGATGCGGAGGGTGAGAGGATTCACCAGAGACAGAGTGGGGAGCAGAACAGGCAGATCGACGAAGTCCACTGCTGAAGGGAGCAGTGGGCGGGTCAGGAGAGGTCTGCCACGCCATGTGGGTCACCTCGGGGCAGGCGGGGATCGAACTCATGTGGAAGGGGCTTAAGCTTCTTAGTGCAGTGCTTTAACTAGCTGCGCCACCAGGGAGGGCCCATAAACTCTCATTTTAACAACCGCAAATACTTTTTACATTTCGAACTATCTATTCTAAGCCCAAAATCGCATATTCACCACTGGCCCTTCTAAGAGACTGGCGTCCAAGCTGCTGCACTGTCCCAAGGGTTGGGGGACAGGACACAAACTCTTCTGCCCTTTGGGTCTGCGTTAACGAGCAAGGTTGTGTTTAGCTCAGCTCAGAGCTTCTATGGGCATTCAGGCCATTTTCAGTTCATTTTAATCCTATACCACACAGATTCCAGTTGGGGGCTGGCTAATGGGCTTGGTGTCAAATCGCTCTCTACCCCCCCCCATTCCAAAGTTACTATTTGACCATCAGCTGAGGCCTGCAAAACAGTATCAAAAATTACAATTCCTAAAGAGCAGAAAAAACCTCAAACAAATACTTTTTAAGTGAATACGTGCTAACTCTTTGAACTCCTCCAGCGTGCCAACAGAAGGTAGTTCCGCGGCTCCACTATACCTACCTTGAACTTTAAAATGTCTGACTAACTTCCACACTAGTGAATGACCGGCATTTTCTTCTTTTCTTTTCTTCTTCTTCTTCTTCTTTTTTTTTTTTAACATTCAAGCCCCACCTGTCTGTGCTCAAGCTGTCTACTAATATATATCATCTGAGCACTTCTATATCAATTAACATTTTAACGGTCCTAAATCTCAATTCTGTGGCATCTCCCCAGACTGCCTGCTCAATGCCCACTGCTGTCTATTCCAGCCCAATAGTCCAAGTATATATGTTTATGGCATCTATTTCAACAGAAGGGAGGTCCTGGCATTTTGAAAAAAGACAGTTACTTGCTTATCAGTTCGTGCCACCCCATCCTAACTTTATAAGCAAGATAAACTGAGGCAGTTAAGTTAGGAAGCATTTTCTGGATTCTCTCTGTAGATTTTATACATCAGTGTAGACTCAATAGCTCTTTCTGCTTTGTCATTTCTTCTCCAGCGACTTTTTCTTGCCCTTTTGTTTTTCTCACTCACAGCTCTATGAGGGGTGGGTAGGAGGAAGGGAAGGAGATAAAATTCAAATGAGGTCATCTGGCCAGTCACTCTTTGGCTACAGCAGAGCCCCAGAGACCAGATCGGGGAGCTGGATTCTCTCCACGGTCCAGCTTGCTCCGGACAAATGTGAGCTTGTGCCAACACGACAGACTCTGACCCCACTTCCTGCCAGATGTTTTGCGCAAGGGGGCCCAGGCCAGTGAGTGGATATGACTCAGGAAAGTAGGCCTCACCTCCAGACAGAAAAACACATGGCCGTGTAAGTCACCCCCAGCCCTCTGACTGCTGTGCGTTCCTCTTGGAACTTTGGAATAAAGGGGTGGCTGGAAAACAAGGTCTTCATGATGATTAAAACACGCCGTGAAGATTAACTTTTCTCCCTCTTATCCTCTACATTAAACTAAATCAAACATGAGCATCGGCAAAGCCAACAAACTAAGAAGGATTTTTATATGCTCAAATGTAGAAAAAATCAAGAGTGTCATTTCATGGCACATGAAAGTCTATGAAATTTGCATTTCAGTGGCTCTACAGCGCTTCCTTGCAACAGCCCTGGGACCGGTTACTTGCTCCCGCAGCTGCTTCTCTGGCACAGCTGAAGCTCCAGCCCATGATGAGCAGATCTGTGCTCTGGGGGCTACTGGGGCCCAGCACCCCTGCCTTTTCTCATTCTACACACATCTTTGTGGCTCCTTGTCACCTGATGGTTCATGGGTTTGCCTTATTTACTTTCCATCTGTGCAGGTTTATTAGTTTATTTTATTTCTCTGCAAATCATAAATCAGGGGCACCACCACCACCATAAAAAATGGCTTTTACTTTTCAGAGAGGACGATACGATACTGAAGATTTTCAAAAGATCCTAAAAATGAACGATGCTTCCTTCCTTCCGCAGGATTACTGTCATTTAATGTGTGTGTGGGCTTGTGGACATGACAACAAAAACTTCTGCACACTTTCTCACGTGCTAGAATTAAAGAGTCGGGATACAGCGGGGTGGGGAGGACAGTGGGCAGTGGTGGACACTCTGGGTGCTTGTTGGTGGGGAACCAGTGTGACCACACCTGAGCACACCTGTCAAAACACTACGGAGGATGGAAAACAGTGGTAGCTGAATTGAAAAAATAATAGATAAGTAAATGAATGAATTTTGCTTCTGACCCGTAAATGAACAGCTATTCATTGAAAGAGGAACCACGCCCATTTTTACTATATAAAATCGGAATCCTTAAGAGTTGGTTGGATTTTGAATGCCTCTCTTCAATGAGACTCACTAAGTAATGCATATACAATCATCAGAAAAAGAGAAAATTGACTCTAAGCCAAGGTTCTCAGAGGTACCTGGCTCTGCAGATTCTTCTCTCTCCACCCTGAAGATAGATTCCTGCTCCTTGGAGCTTGTATGGGCTCCATCCCTTCATCGGTAGAGGCTGCCAACACTAGCAATGTGTCAACATTGTACACAGGCCACACGAAGATGGCCGCCATTGGGCTGGTGTTCATTATTCTCCCTCACTGAACATGCTGGCATCTGAGGGGTGCCCTGACCTGGGCGTACCAAGATGTACAGAGGTGTACAGACGGGAAGAAGGGGGGCTGTTCAATTAGCCACAGGACTGGTTTCACCTTAGTCCCTCCCCTTCAGTGATGCAGACAATAATGCAGCGAACCCAGAGTGACGTACTCATAACTCACCGATATACACATCTCCAGATATGGTGTAAATGAAGCTGGTCCACCCTGAAAAGGAACCACAAACGTTAGAAAATCAATGCTACCGTGTGAAAAGGAACAGAGTTAACAAATATCTCTAAATAGGAAATGGCAATATATGAATTTATGTAGCAGAGATAAAACACAAATTTGTCAATGAACTTCTTTGTTGTCTTTTAAATCTGTATTTTAAAATATAAGTTCTCTGAGATATTCAAAACACATATTCTTGCTCTCATATGTGCACACACGCACACACCCCAAACCTAACTGATCTGGCCCCAAATGATTCAGAGCCATGCAAGTAGACACTACAGTTCACGTGGCCAAACGCGTGTATCCCCACTAGCACCAGGCTAGTAAGGGCCACACGCCAGGACAGTGATCTTCAGCCTGCTCTGCCTCCAGGACAAAGTGCGATGACATTGCTAGAAAGATGCTTTTCTCGACTTAATTGCATTCTAGTTTTCAGTGATCTGGCTCCCTTCCATGTATCTGAAAAGAGGGTGTCCAGCCCAGGGATCTGGGGCTGTAAAACCTCTGGGATCCAAACAGGATTCCAATGGCTTGTGCCCCTCTGCCACAACCGCGCGAAGACGTACTCTTCGCTGTGAGGAGGGCGAGGGCAGAGGGCCTTCACCCAATTACTACCGTGGCTATTCGGCCACGAGTGTAGAGCCAGGGCAGCCGCGCTGGATATGCCCGGGGTTGTGCATCGTCCGTGGGCCTGGAGAGGCCTGAGGTGCCATGAGGGGCCCTGAGCAACAAGCGGCGACTTAGGACATGACTCGTGTGCCTTCAGTTGGAAGGGAGAAGGCCCTGGGAGGCAAAGGCGGGCAGAGTTCAAGGCAGAAGGGCAGGGCCTGTGAGTGCCAATGTAGTGAAGGAGAAAGCAAAAGCCGGGTGGGCATGGAAGGGCCATGGAGCATGAAATATCCTCCAGGGACCTGGCTGTGATGGCAGGTGATGGCGACACCTGAGGGAGAAAGCAAAGAACACATGCAACTGACTGGCCTGAGTCCGCTGAGGAGAATCTGAGGGATGGCCTCCTCACCAAGGACGCCTGTGGGAGGCCGGGGTATGGTTTCCCTTTCAGTTTGTCCTCTCTGACAATTTTTTAGAACAACTCTAAGGACTCCGGAAGTAACGCTTCTTGCTCATAGTTCACTCACACCTTCCTCCCTCACTGACCCATCTGTTCCGTCTTCTAAGGTTTTGGCCATCATTTCAGGGCCAGCTACCATTCCTATACCCGTACTGGGGGTGTTCACGTTGTGTGATTCAGGGAGGGAGGTTCGTGGCAAATGCTAAAGACACGTGCCAACGATTCACAGCCTGAGTCCACAGGCTTACCTAGAGCACACGGCTCTATCAGCATTTGCTCCGCTTTGCAGTGGACACTGGGATGCCCTGGCCCCTTTTAGCCTGATTGATAATAAACTCGACATCCACTATCCCTGTCTTTGCTGATTTTCCAAAAAAATTCACTTTTGATATGGTTTCAATTTCCTTTTCCAAGTGCAAATATATTTATTGCTTTTTTTTTCTGGTTGTAAAATGCAGTAAGCATTAATGGTGAAATATTTTCAGAATGTAAAAGTGTATAACAACTAAGCTGAAAACTTCCCTGCAGTCTTCACACTTAGCCCAACACAAGTCTTGCTGACCATTGGGGATTTGTGCTTTTGGTTTGTTTTTTAATGCACCATCAGTTATTTGCTTAAAAATGAGAACAAACGTAATGTTCTGTTTGGGATATCTTTCTATGTCAAAACAGAGAGAAATAACTCATCCCTGTGGAAGTCTGCAACACATTCCATTGTGAGGATGTGCCATCACCTGTGAAGCCAATCCCTCTCCGAGGGTGACAGGTATTAAACACCCAATGGTTTCTGAATCTGATGGAAGCTCCCAAGCTCAACGGGTTTTTATCTGGATTATTTTGGGTGTTCTAATCTCACTTCTCCTCCAGCCCTTTCTTCATTCCTACTTACCCTCCAAGCAGAAAACGAGTCTGCACACAATTGCCTAGGTCTGTTTTCTTTCCCTTTTTATCTTTTCACATGATCCAGAAGGACCAAACGCTTGCTGAAAGGAATGGCCAAGTCGATTTATTTAGTGCCTTCGCCCACTTTTGCTCCTTGTGAGAGTCGTCTGTTAGGATCTAGAGCCCCTCTTTCCTGGTACCGAGGGAATCTAGGCTCCTTGGGAGCACCAGCTCCATTTTATATATATATATATATATATATATATATATATATATATAAATATATAAAACATTTATTTATTTATGCACACACGAGCTGGGATGTTGACCAGAGCTGGTGGGTGGGGGAAGGATTCCCCAGCGACAAAGTGGGGAGCAGAACAGGCGGAGAGGAGACAGGAGAAGTCTGGGGCATCCTGTGGGGCAGCCCTTAGCTTGACAGCACTGAGAGCTGAGCCTTGACCCCTGCATACAGGGAGGCCTTTCATTTGCACCATGCACTGCTTCTGAAAGCTACAGCAAACTGAGAGCCAACTCGTGCGATTGCTACATGTGTGACTGCCACCTCGTTTTCCTAGAATTCCTTCTTTGCTAAGAGCCAGATGGCACAGGTAAGGCACAGGTAAGGCGCCTGAGATGTCCTGGTCCTTCTCTTTCGGCCCTCCCCGACGCCTCCTCCCACTTTTATATCTGGCACCTGGAACAGAAACCACCCCCAACTTTTTCTTGCTCTGTCAAAGGTTCACAGGCTCCACACTTCCTTCTACAAATGTGGTCTCCAAGTTTCTGGGCTTTGCAGCTGGGATGTGCTCCCCTCCCCTCAAAGACAAAGGAAAGGAGTCAGACTGGAGGTGGCATTCACCTCTGGTCCCTCAGGATGCTAATCAGCAGCACACTGAAAAGAGATCTCCTTCAGCCAAACATAAAAATGCAAAGCTTTTAAATATGTAAATCATTTTCTATGGCATTTGCTCTCATTCTAGGGAGGCTCCCAATTCTTGCAAGTCCCCAGTGAGAGCTCTCCTTGGCCCGCTTTCCTTGCCTGAACCCAGCTCCTCGCTGTCCTCCTGCTGCCTTACAGCTCAGGGTCCCAGTGACCTTCCAAAAAGCCCAGCCCGAGGCCACATCAAATCCCTGACAAAGGTCATTCCTGGGGAGGGAAGAAAAGAGGGGAACAGGGCAAGGGAGAGAGTGAACTACTCTTCAAAAGTTGGGCCACACGGTTGCCAGACCCCCAAAGCTGTGTTGGTTCCCAAGAGCCTCCCCCACAAGTGCTACACAGAGTGGGGACCGGCAACACCCCCACCAAAATAGTGCAGAGGATTGCACAGATTCTCCCAGGCCTAATGTTGTCACATCTGAGTTAGCACCCTTCTCTCTAGTAATAAATCTTGTTCATCTCCTTCTGAAAGAGTTGGTACCTGTTTACCAACTGAAGTACTTAGTGTCTCTTTCTTAAAAACAAGGATATCTTCCTACAAAACCATAGAGTACTTGTAAAAATTATGAGACTGATACAATATCCAGGAAAGCATGATGAGTTTAGAACAATACCATTATGTATGTACAGATACGCAAATTGTGTCAGTTGCCTCAGCAGTACCTTTTAGGACAGAAAGAAAATGATGTTCTAGCCCCTCAGTCCTTCCCTGCCATCCAAAGCACAGGAGGGCTTTCCTCAGTCTAGGTGTGCCTAATGTTTCCTCATCGTTAGACCTAGCTGATTCTTCATCCCTTTCCCTGTTAGCTTCAGGGGAAAGCTCTTATTTCTTTGTACTGCTTTAATTTTCTTAATTCACAAGAGCAGAAAGGATGAAATAGCAAACATATACAATGCTGTTTATTTCATCTTTCTTTCCTTTTACAAATAAAATCACACCTGGTTGCCTCCCAGTCATTTTCTACACACAGTAAATGTGATCTTTCTAGAAGTTCCACTTAAAAGCCACCAATGGTGCTCTGCTGTCCCAAGATCAGCCCAACTCCCCATCGTAAGCAGACAGATTCTTCCTACTCTGGTCCTCTGCTTCTCTGGAAGCACCCACTCTCTGCTCCCACCTCCATGGTTAATTATCACCCAGCAATTGCTTCTTGGCTTTCTGGCTAAGATCAAGAATAATTCTCACCCCGCAAACACCTCCTGGGGAGAGGAGGGGCAGGACAGAAGAATGGGCCCCTAGAGGGGACTTCCCGGTACCACGGGAAGGAAACCAGCCAACAAACTATAAAATACCAACAGAAAAGAACGCACAGTGACAGTAAACAAATCTTCTGGAGATCTAGACCAGACTCAACATTCTGGAAGTTTCTTTGAACTTCTTTGAACCCGTTTTCTGGTTTGAAAGATAAGGACATGATTTGTACAAAACACAGCTGTTGGGGTGATCGGGGTACTGAATTTCTGTATACACAATACATGTACATGGACATAAGCATGTACAAAGGGGTGTCACGTGTTGTTCATGTTATCTACACACTGCCCAGCGCTTAGTAGGCATCTAACAGATGCTAGTTCTCTTTCCCGCCCTTCTTACCTTTCTTTTTCCCCCCAATTTATGCAGATCAGGATGTTGCAGTGGTTGCTGTCAAGGTTTCTGCTGAACAGGGACCCATGGCAGAGAAGGGGCATGATCAGAGGGGTTGCCCCTTGCTCCCTGGAACACATCCCTAGCTCCAAGACTGCTGTCTCATGGCCTGCACACTATACTGAGCAGATATTGTCAGGGTGGTTCCCCAGAAGGTAGAGAATGGACCCCTTCCTGCCCTTGCCAAGAACTACACAGCTCTTAGGATGCGGTGCTTGCACCAATGAACACTGGCATCTAGAACTGGTAACCTAAGGTGCCTTTGTGATCATACAACATCAGACAGCTTACTCTTTGGTCTCTAAGCTGGCCAAGCACGGGCTCCTACCCCCATCTCATAACCAAACATGGACAGCAAGAGAGGCATCAAGTTTGTAGGTCTGCAATCTGGAAGAGAGGTCAGTTAGGTTACTATGTGACCTTGTAGGGATTCCATCAAGAGAAAACTGTCTCATCTCTTTCTCTCATCTGACCTTGGCTCTCCCTCTCATTCACAGAGACCCTTAGGACTAGATTCAGCCCACCTGGATTATCCAGGTTAATACCCTAGCTGAAGATGCATCACATGACCACATCAGTGACACAACCTTTCCCAGGTGAGCTGGCACAGTCACAGGTTCCGGGGACAAGGGTACGGCCATTGTTCTGCCTGTCACCGGGGTAAATTCTGTTGGTTGCTATACTGTCAAGAAAAATCAGATACTGAGGGAAGTCAAGAAGGCTTACAAAATGGAGGGTTTCTATGATATGACAATCCTCCATGCCTAACATTCCAGATCAGTTTTTGAAATATCTAGTGACAAAGGCACTGTGCAAGGTGGAAAAATCAACAGAGTGGCTGTCACAGGCCAACCCTGATGCAGTTGGAAGAGAAGAGGGATACAGGAGAAGAAGACACATGTCTCTTGGAAAAGATTATCCTAGAAATAGACTTATGTCCTCAATGAATGGTGGCAAAGTGTTATCTGTATTTCAGTTTATAGCAAGGAAAATCAGATTGCTTTGGAAGACATGGTAAAAATTACTGCAAAAAAAGAAAGAAAGAAAGAAAGAAAGAAAGAAAGAAAGAAAGAAAGAAAGAAAGAAAGAAAGAAAGAAAGA